ACGGTAAGCCTTACCTTAAGAATAGTCAGTACATGGTTTAAACCCAGGAGTAACTGTCGATCATGTAGTCCGATCGTGAGGGGAGAGTAGTCTTGAAAAGGACTGTTGTCAATAAAATAAAAGTCACTGACGTTTGGGCAACCTCGGTCAGGGGAAAAAGTCATAAGAGACAAGTTATAGAGACCTAAGAAGAGCCTTATAATCTCTAATGTAACATTTTGGTTTTATAATTAGCATGAAGAGTACCTTAGCATCCGCTTAAAATATGCGTATCTCAAGACAAGAAAGCAGAGACTTCATCCAAGGAAGTTTATATGTTCGAGATCGGAGAGGACCCCAAACATCCTATCAAATTCATGTATACAAAAGTCGGTTCTTGTTACACGATTTTATTTTCCAAACTAGTATTCAGTTCTATGAAAATACGCCAGCAATGGCATTCAACAATAACTTAAATAATACGACTGTGTGTTCTGATATCAAATCCCTTTGTCCTATTTCGTAGCCCGGATTAAAGAATGTCAACAATCCGTGATGATTAGTGCATAGCAACTGTACCAAGTAACAGTTACCGCGACCAACGGGCAAAGCTTAGCCAAGAGCTGCTTTTCGTCGCCAAATTTTCTTTGCTATACCTTAACAAATAATAGTTTGAGAAGGGTGAATTGATACCGAGGGAAGACAAATGCTGCGAATCAATTGATTGATCATGTGAACGTAATTGTTAAATACGCGGGCAACTTTCGTAAGGAAAAGTAACCATAACAACCACGTTCAATAAACTTTGTTGCCAATTATCATCACAGGTTGGACTCCTTCGTTTCATATAGGATGTAGGGAGGCGAGAATGTTTTATAGAATGAGAAGTTTTAAAAAAATTAAAAACTATAACCAACGGGGCTCTGGAATGTTGAAGAAATTGAAGTAATTTATGATTATTCAAAGATGAAACGTAACATTGCACAGGATGCCCGACATCAACAATCATTCGTAACCACTGAAGCGGAAAAACTTGAATGGTTTGTGAAATCGTGGCTTCTGGCCATAACTTGGCATTGGAAGAATTTCAAAACTCCATAGGTACGAATGTGATATTCAGAGAAATGCACACTAACACAAACAACCAATCAGATTTCAAGGCTCGTTTAGAGTAACCAATCAAATTGAAGGAAAACGAAAGACGAAGAGGCCTTTTTGAAATATATCAAAGATCTATCAAGTCTGCTTGACGCTGAGTGTAAATTTAAAAATTCAACTTGATTTTCATCCACGGGCCAAATTAAGTATTTTTCATGAAGAGTTGTTATCAAATTCCTTTACGGGAATTTCTCACCGGGGAGCGCAGATAATACGCAACCACTGACTCTTGCACCGCCACATTATCGCTTTTCCTCGTTTTCTTGACCGTCGACTCTTGTTTTGTCGCATTACTGCTTGCTTATTGTTTATCTTTATCTTTGTTTATTCTTTATTTTATTTATTTATTATTGTTTATTCTGTCATTTTCCAATTCTAATACTTCAGAAGAAATTAAGGGATATTATAATATATTATTAAAATATAATACAACTGAAAAATTAACATCTGGCGAGGAAACCTGTAGAGAAACCAGGAAGCTTATATGTGAGCTACAGGCTCCTTATATTTTACAAAAGTGAGGTATTAGTTATATGGCATGATTAAGATACAACAAATTTTAGGATAAAAAGGGAAGAACTCACTCACATAAGACAACAACACTAGCAGGCCCTCAAAGAAACATATACTGTAAAGGTTTGCAAACCTTATCTTATCTTTTGCCTGCCTGAAAGCATCTCGTAAGTCAACTTTCCTTAATATATCTGGGAAATCAGTTCAATAAACAAATATATTATTTTACTCGAGATTGAAAGCAATTTACTAATCCATGATTATCACTAGTTTCAGATCTTAACCATTTTTAAAGATAATACATTTTTTACGGGCTCATGGTAGATAAAATTATCAAGTCTCCTATGAGGATTCCAACTGAACAAAGACCATCTAATTTTGTGTTCGTATCAAAGATCTACCGGATGAGCCATACCGGATGAGCCTCAAAGAACTATTTTGTGAATTATGCTGTTCTATTCTGAATACCAACTCAAATATACCTAAAATCAGTCCTTTTATTCATGGGGACAAACTCAACAAGTCAAACCCTGGCTTATTAAGTCCAAACGTCACTTAATTAAAAGACAAATTTGAAATCTTGCAGATCCCCCTACAGAAAAAAAAAGGTTACGATAACAGAATTTTCAAACGTTAGGGTAGTGAGAATGTAGGAAATGATTGCCCACTCAAGAAGCTCTTAACTGTCAAAGAAAGAAAAATTCTTTAGTAGTACCATGAGAAATGTAAAGCGAACCGAGTAGAAAATGGGCAAACCAATTTCAGTTTGTAAAGCGTTAAAAAAATTTAAACAATCATACTATGGGAGATAGACATTCACTTTCAACGGCATCAGTTGCCATTTTGAATTCATGGAGATAGAGTGCTATATTTATGCATGCATTAACTCATTCTCGCTGCCAGGTAGAGGCAAAATCCAGCTTGCCGACTGGTATTTTAAAAGCCGTAGAATCGCAAAATGAGCGGCGAAACCGCAACAAGAGTGTGATGTAGGAGTAGGAAGTAGTAGTCAAATTTCCGTCGCTCATTTCGGCGGCTTCTATTTTATCGAGTGCCGAAAAAGAGATAAGAAAAAACTGTTGATGAGAGCGAAGCCCAGTAGCCAACATCAACTATCACGCTAAAGAAATAGAGAACGAATAATCTAATTGTTTTCATATCAATCTATTTGTCGTTTAAACTTAACAAAAAGACAGGCTCATGTTGCTATTTCTTTTTCTTTCACAATCGCATGATGTTAGGCAAGAAAATACAATAAGTTTACAATCTCTCAATGTTAAGCTTCTCACTTTAGTGATTGTTTATCAAGGAAGCTACATAGCTAGTAGCGTGGCCAGTCAGATTTCAGTATCTGCAAAAAGAACATTAATTGATTTATAATTACTGTATAATAGCGCTCTTCTCAGGCGCTGATATCGCTAGCTCGGAGAAGATTACCACAGCATTTTTATTACTATTAGTACAAATACCAAAGTACTAAGCGACTAGAGAGCTACAAAATGAATTCCCATTTCGCTAATAATCAGTCTCTTGCATTGTATTGTCAGAGAGCTAGCACATGCTTTTTTCCCATTACTGACACGCTTCCTAGGGCACCTCTATATATATACATATACACCCGTTTTCAAAAACGTTACAACTCGAATTAAAAAAATAATGAAATACATACGCCTTTTGTTTTCTCAACAATGTGTCTCTTTTTGATGAGAAAAGAAAAGGTATATAAATTTCATGTAAATTTCCTAATTGCAATATATTTATATTTATATATTATAGCACTACAAACTCTTGCAGCTGATTCAATAGTTATCAATTTATGTAGGGTTTTCCCGCATTATCAACTTGCTTGTCATATTCATTTCCGATTTTAGGACTAGTATTTATGACATGGCAGAGGAAGCCCTACGATCAACAAGTCTCAGAGCAAATTTTCATCGCCTGACACGATTACTGATGCGTGGAGGCGTGCAACTTTTGCGGGAGACATTAAACTCCATTTGCTCGCCAGCTGATCTCCGTTTTAGACTCGCTAATCCTGCCACATGGCCACGACTGAAAAGAGCAGGACTTACCCAGCCGGAGAGGGTTTGTCTATACCCGTCCCCAGGGGTGTACGGCAAGTCTGACGATTTTGACATCACATTAATCTTCAAGTTATTTAGGACAATTTGCGGCCTGACCCCTCCCCCTGGACCGAGGGGATGGGATGATTTACCAAACAGCTCAGACCACAGTCTGGTGGCGGATTTAGTACGAATAAAATATTATCGAAATGAGATTTACGCTCACCTCCACGGCATGGAAATATCTGACACCGAGTTTGGTCGTCTCTGGGAGGAAATTAAGGAGACGCTGTTAAGAATTGCGACAAATATTAGTTCTGCAAAGAGATGAATGGGAGAAGTCCATTAACGATCTTCTTCGTAATCCTTTAACGCCAGATGAGGAAAGATGCATCGAAGAGCTAGAGATCTGGTATAAGCAAGACATGGATGTTAAAGATGAATTGGTAAAGCTTAGAGAGGAACTGAATTCTCTAAAAGTCACGATCTTAGGTCAGTAAAAAGTTAAATTTAAATCTCCATCAGACAAAAGTAAGGAAACCTAATCCTTAGTTCCCTTTAATGTTAATCCAATGTTGCCACTTTTCTCGGAGATCCTTATTTAATTACTTTGATCTCGCACATTTGTTTTAAAATAAATTTATAAAGCGCCAATAGTGCTTCTTTTTTTTTTGGTTCAAATGCAGGTTCATATTTTGTTGTTTTTCTATCAGATTTACGGATCAACTTATCTGAAAGTCGTCAAGCTGCTGGATCCGAACCACCAGACATAGATATTTGGAACGTAATTTTATCATTTAAAGAATCAGTTGATTTATTCTTTCGATACTTGTGGTGTAAACTTCATCTACCAGTGCGCAACAATGAGGTAGGGAGCTGGCATATTACAGTTGAATGCAGTTCACTGCAAATCCTTGAAGGATTGTGGGAAGATTATCGCAGTGTTCAACTTAATTCAGTTGCCCAGGTCATGCTAATAACACCACAGGTTCTGCAGAAACTTGGTCTTACTGAGCTCGAGCTGAAGACCCATATTTCCGAGGATCAGTATGAGCAAGGGAAAAAGCTGTTAGAGGCGAGCTCAGGTGATTATTGAGAGTTTACCAACATTGAAGTCTAAGCGTTTTTTAGTTTTTATTGATTCGTCACAATAAGGCACACTTCACCGAATAGGAAATAGAAGAGGTGAAGAATTAGACCCAAAATTGAATCCAACCGAAAAAAATAGTTTTGACTACTATTCCATTTGATTTGTTTTTCCGTTTCCTTAATGTTACTTATTAAAAGGAGCGGAAGACAAGAGCGAAATTCAAGCCTTGCAAGTTACACTCGCAAAGTCTATTTCTGAGGGATCCACCGAGCCAGGTAAATTAACGATATATAACGTGATGCCTTGAATCCAGCCACCTCAAAGATGGTTAAAATTTTATGAGGCAGGTAGTTTGTGGATTTGTATTGCACCGACGCTCTAGGCGGTCACTTGAGTAAATAAACTTACATTTTATAGCTCTATATACAAGATGATTGATTAAGGAAGCTAAAAAGTGTGACAACTTTCGAGAGTTTTGTCGAAATGGAAAATTTCACGTCGTAAGAGATGCAATTTAGGCGAAATGTTGATGGGAAAATCGTAGCGTTTCTTTCTCCTGTCGACTTTTATCACTTCAGAGATTTGCTAAAATCAGAAATCATGTCTTTTGTTTGGCACAAAACATTCATTGGACTATAATTTGATTGTTTATTATCATTATCGCTCATTTTAGGAGATTTTAAAGTCACATGCTGCGTGTTGGTTGACATACAAGCTCCCGTGTGCGACAACTGCGGCTTTTACAGACGAGAAATTCTGCCCTTTCGCTTGAGAGGAAATATCAATAGCTTTATCAAATTCAAAAACGGTGCTACTATTCCGAAAATAAACTAAATTAGTTTTGTCGTTGTTACTTAACGCCATCGAACATTTCCATGCAGAACTCCGCCAAAATACTGAATCTGTGGCGTGATCCAAAGACTTCGACACCATGAATTGAGAAATCAATAGCAGTTACATACCAGGTGAGAGCAATTCGACGAAGACTCTATCCTCAGAAGTACCATCGCCAGGCGAGCGACCACATCGTATCTTATCGCTCGAAGAGTTGTCTCCACAAATCTCTTCATTTTATATGATATTCGAATCTAACTCTCACTTTTTTAACCTCCACAGATGGACGTTTTAATTTCGGAAGCAGTTCATTCCATTTTTTCGAAGTAAACGATTTTTAACGCCTTGTCCTCACGTAGCGCTTTACCCATAACTATATCGTAGTTACAGTTTACCGTTCCCTGAACATGGACAATTGAATATATTTCTACTGCTAGTTACAGAACGTTGCGTAATGAAAGGTGATCACACCAAATTTTCGTAAGTTAATACTAAGTTCAGGTCCCCTTGACAGTCAACACTACATCTTTGTTTTGTACTCTAAGTAACATAGCACCCTTTCTTCAGAGTCTATAATCTGGGCTTATTAGAGTTGCTCTTCCAAAAGAGTTGGTTTCGGTGTTGGAAGAAAAACTCTCACCACACCTTCCAGCCAATAGAACTAGCTACTAATCTCACGCTCTATTTAGCACGCACGGAAAACGTACAGGTCAAGTAAGATTGACTTCAAGTCTCGCATTCTTTTCGGAACGCTCAGGAAACACACATGCTCAGTAAGATTGCCTCAAGTTTCGCACACGATTTGGCACGCACAGAAAACGCACATGTCAAGTAAGTTGCATCGTGAAACTAAAGTGAGTTATTTTCATTGAGAATTTGACTGTATTTTTCATTCCTAAGAACGGTTGTAAATATTTCCATACAAACTTTTATATTTTCGCCATGCCTTTTTTTTCCACAAGATGATCTCTCACAGCTGGAGCTTGGGCTGCTTGTGGTTTTGAAGTCTCGCACTCTATTCGGCACGTTCAGAAAACACATATGTCATCTATGATTGATCAAGTCTCGTACTCTTCGGCACGAACAGAAAACGCACATGTCAAGTAAGATTGACTTCAAGTGTCGCACTCCATTTAGCACACTCAGAAAACACACATGTCAAGCAAGACTGCCTCAGGTTTCGCACTCTATTCGGCACACACAGAAAACACACATGTTAAGCAAGATTGACTTTATGTCTCGCAATCTATTCGGTACGCAGAGAATCGCATATATCAAGTAAGATTGAATGCAAGTCTCGCACTCTATTTGGCACGCACAGAAACGCGCACGCAAGCAAGATTGCCTCAAGTCTCGCACTATGTTCGGCACGCACAGAAAGCGCACACGTCGAGTAAGATTGACTACAACACACGTACTCTATTCGGCACGCACGAAACGCACATGTCAAGTGAGATTGACTACAAGTATCGTGTTCTATTCGGCACGCACACAAAACGTACATGTTAAGTAAGGTTGACTTCAAGTCTCGTACTCTATCCTGCACCATCATCATTTTCACCACCTTACATTCTTGAAGTTCTACCGTCACTGTTATAATTCAGGAATTGGAAGATCGATATCAATGGGAAATGGACGGAGCCTTGCCATTCTGTAGGGGATGGCTATATTTGAGGTCGGACCTCGGGAAAAAATTCTGACGAACAATCCCTTACGAGTTAGGTGGACTTTGGATGGACCCTTAGGAAAACAAAAGAAGCAGCTGCCCTTTCTCAGAAAGCAAAGAATTATCTCCTGAGCGTGTGCTAGACAGGGGAGGAAACTATTAAGACAATCGCCTACAATGTGGCTTCCCAAATAAAAAGTTTAAAAGACAACACCGGCCGGAAATGTTGTCTAAGACTGACTGGTTGATAGAGTAGCAGATCGCACTATACTTTGGCCGACTATTTGCACTGACAAAAACTGGTTTATTGAAGGAGTCCCCCTCTGTAAGTATGAATGAGGACGAAGAGGCCGATGCTGATGATCTAGCTTGAGAAGTCGAAACTGACCCAACAAGGCAGAAGATAAGGAGGGACCTTGCAAAATTTAGACAAAGGCTGCAGGAGAGGGCACAGGTGCTATTAGGCTACAAGAAAATACAGACCTTTACATCTCACATTTCTTTCAAATTTATTGTCACTACCTACGAAAACAACTGGCTTTGTCTTCGGATTTTTTCATGAAGGGAAATTCGCAGGATGTCTATAGGTCAAAATATTTCTGGCTCATTCTTTAAGTCACGCAATTCAAAGCAAGCAACACGCAATCGAGAGGGACGTAGATTTACATGTAGTCCTAGAATGCTTAAAAAGATATGAAACAATAACAACATTTTAGTTTTATTTTTGGAATAGTAGCACCGTTTTTGAATTTGATAGAGCTATTGATATTTCTTCTAAAGCGAGAGTTTTAGAATTTCTCGTCTGTAAAAGCCGCACACTGGAGCTTGTATGTTAACCAACACGCAGCATGTGTCTTTAAAATCTTCTAAAGTGAGCGATGATGATAAAAAACAATCAAATCATAGACTAATGAAAGTTTTGCGCCATGTTTGCAGATTTTAACCCATAGGCATCTCCCTAAACGTGAAATTTTCGATTCCTACAGAAATTCTCGAAAGTTATTTACAATTTTTGGCTTTCTTGATCAATCATCTTGTATAACGTGTGATAAAATGTAGGTTTATTTACTCAAGTGACCGCCTAAAGCCCGAATTGCGTGATAGGTGTAGTTGAGAGAAGCTTTTCACAGGACAAAAATACGGAAGTGCCCTAAATTTTTTTGATGTCTTTTAGAGATGAAATGATGGATTATAGAGGAGAATTAAAATTAGTGTTATAGCTTTATGGCAAGGGGAGATATTTGACTTCAAATATTTTGATGAATCAAAAAGTCTTAAGATACAGTCATTGATTTGCCTCTGTTGATTAACAAGCCGTCAATCAAATTGACTGATACTTACGTCGTACATTTACCAAGGATGTGATAATATGTATGCAAATTGTCAGAGTAATCGGTTAAATATTATCGCATTGAGAGCTTCATACATTTTACCTATTTTGAAGCGATTCCCTTGATGGACTTTAAGAAAAATCGGGAGGGTGGTCTATTCCCCCCCGGAAAAAACCAAACTAGAAACAGTTTGTTTGCTTGAGTTTTGGGGTAGACCCTTTAAACTGGCAAAGTTCCATTGAAATCGGTGAGATGGCATGTAGCACGACTGCCTGGTGCTCTCGTGGACACACTCTTAAGCAGTTTGAGAAAAGTAAAGAAAATAAAAAAGGGAAGAAGGAAATCAACTCAGGAGTAATGTTCGAAATTTAGACTTAGACAAGGAAAGTGTGGCAACATTCTGTATCTCTATGTTCAGATTATTGAAAAAAAAAAATGTCTAATATTTGTTCTGAAGAGAGTATGTGAAGAATTGCATTGTCTGGTGTAATAACAATGAATGCTACTCGAAAACGAAAATACTCTTTGAAGAGTATCAGGAGGACAGCCTTTCTTTTACAAAAACATAATCTTCCTAATTGCAATCGATATATATTGTATAGATTAAGAATTTCCCACCGCATAAATATAGGTTCAGTGTGAGCGGTAAAAATTACTTCTTGATATAATTCGTACTACCTTCCTGGAGTAGAACAATACGTTACAATGTGTTCCCCGAGTTAAAAAAAGAGGGCCTGATCGTGGATTAACTTCAATCCTTACATGGAGTGTCTTTTTTGCTTTCCAGCAGCTAATTCAGCTGAGTCAGAAGCTGGAAATAACCAAAATTTAACAGGACTCAAAACCGATTCTCTTGGACGGATGGATGATTCAGAAGCCAGCAATGAAGGTTTTTATGTTCATAAATTCATAAAATGGTATAATTCCAAGTCCTTACTTGTTATTATTAAATATGGCATACGGAGTTATAATTATTGCGGCTCTTTTTAAGTCACAATTTTTGTTCAACTGATGTTTACTTGTTTTGCAGCCACCTCTAGGGATATGGCATTTGAACAGGCTCCTGTAGATGAAATCGACGTACAGTCAATATGTGGTGAAGTAGGCGCAGACTGGAGAAACCTGGGTACATCCTTAGGGCTTGAATCAGCGTTGATTGACAATATTGAGTTGGATCACAGCACAAACCGTGAGAAGGCATGGAAAGTGCTTCTAAAGTGGAGACAAAAAAAAAAAAAAGAAGCAACAGTGGGAATCCTTATAAAAGCTCTTAGGAAGATGAATAGGAAAGACGTCGTCGAAAAACTGTGTGGTATGTAATCTCCTCTTGTAAATGAAATCTCTTAATACCAGGTTTATCTAGATCTATTTGTTTTCATAAAAACTGAACATCAATGTAGGAGAAGATCTTCGAACGAAAATCTTCGTGGCCTTGTCGAGGAGGCTTCATTTTAGATGTAGATTTTTTTATTGTGCCTGCTGTGCCTTCCTTCAAGGATGGCTAGAGGCGCTACGTGGTGCTGTGTCGTAGAAGTCCGTAAACCTTCCCCAAGCCCTTCGCGGTGTTCAAAATGGCGGAGAATCATGAGCCATTATTCATACCTGCTCTTGTGACTCGTCATGAATGAGGTCTGTTCGACCGCTGACAGTCGGTGAGGAAACAGGTTGATCCGATACTTTGGCGGCAATAAAACGTGAAAAAGTAGAGTTGACAAGTTTGTCAGGATATTTTTAGTTGAGAAAACAATAATTTCAGTCTATCACACTCTTCAGAGAAATAACACCAATTGGATGAAAGCCGACATGCACGATCAAGCATAGTTCTTTAGTAACCCGCGTTTGTATCAGTCCTCTACATGGCTCTTGTCCGTTTACATTCCAAATTTTTAAATTTTACAATTCTTACACGCCTATATATATATTCATCGTTAAATTCTTACCATTCCCTTGAAAATGACCGGAATTTGGTCGAAACGTCTTATTTTACCGTTGATTTTTACTGTCAAAAGTTTTACCAAATCGCTATATATATATAAAATTGCTACTAGAACTCTCAGGCCAACAAAGGTGCACCGCGCCAGGAGGATCAATAAAGATTCGCAGTCCAAACCTCACAGCAAACACGAACGTAGAGAGTTAAAAAAAATGCAAGGATGGAAAACTTCTGACGTAAAAAAGATAAAAAATTTAATAAAAACCTTTCGGTCAGAGACCTTCTTCAGTTATTTACAACTTTTGAATAACAAAGAGCTCTAAATAAGATCGAGGTGCTAGTGATTACGTAATTACAGGTGACAACTAATGAATAAGATACAAAATCACGTGAAAGAGCAGAAAGTGGTGTTAATAAAAGATGACAAAAAACAAAATCAACAAAGCGAAAAATATCGAAAGAAAATAATGGACAAAATACGAGAGATAAAACCTAAAAACTCCCCCCCAGGGATTTTGTTGCTAATCCCTTTCAGGCCCCAGAGGCCTTGTTTTGGGATGTTGGTACGGTTTACAGTTGCATTTTCATAACTCTCTAACTCTCTCTCTGCAGATTGAAAATAGGGCATTTTTGGTAACTTCAAGTCTCTTTCGGATATCTTGCGTAAATAACATGATTACATCGTCCTGAGTAGTTCAAACGCTTTTATGCAGAATCTACAACACTCTGTTAGAATCTTGCCGTCAACCGTATCAAAAACAATTTTTTACAAATTTTTAAACATTTCAAAGGTTACGAAACTTCCCTACTCCGTGGAAAGTACTTTTTAATTGCATTTCAACTCAAATTTTCAATGATAAGATAGATATCCGACTCGTTTAGCATATTTTGGGCATTCACTCACTTTCCACAACTAAATATTTTGGGAGCAATTCACAGCCCAAAAAAATTTAGTAAGATTGTATGTTTTGTCATAGACAAGAGCTCCCTTCGAAACCTTTCAACATTTTAAAACTTAACTTTGCTGCTCTAAAGTCAAATTCTCACCTAACTTGTAACGATTGAGGTTTAAAACGGTTTATATGAAAACAACATTATTTTTCCTAATTGTGGCACACAAAAAAAATTAAAGAAAAATTTTTTTCGGAGAAATTTTGGAAGTTTGAAGGGAAGAGACTTTGCCGGGTGACATAAGTGCCCTATTGTACTAATTTTGAATGATAACAAATTCATGATTACCTAAAGCCCCTGAATAAACGTTATCTGTCTGAGTTATTTATTGAAAAAAAAGCTTTTATTCCACAGCACTTGCGTTACCAAATGTTTTTTCCGTTGGCGAGAAGGAGTGATGGATATTTGCAACGAGAATTAGGGCACTTTTGTAACGATCAACGTATGCCACATAAACTGTTGATAACTCTGCTGGTGGCTTTCCAACGAATAAAACAATTCATGTTATTTGTGTTTCTATAAAAAAAAAACCCTTTTAACTCATGTGAATCATTGTTCTTTTATTTGATGACAGTCTTCATAGGGGTATGCCCAAGTGGGGTGGGTGGGGGTGGTTGACATGACGGTCAGTCTATCAGTTGTACTAAAATGCGTAATAAGAGGTTACGCTTGATTCGCAACCGCTATTTTCCGATCGGACTGAAAAGCAGCACAAATTGAGTTCAATACTCTGTGAAAAGCCAACGGATTGGTACAAGACGGCAGTTTCCTCAAAAGTATGCTGATTAATGTTGTCTGGTATTTATCTGCTGTCGAAATGTCATTCAGCTGCCTATATATATTTATAACGTATTTGCATGGTATTGTCAACAATACTACAACCGGCCTACTGGCCGGCTTTTGGTCAGTGCTCCATTCCCGGGGAAGAATTCCATGTGAACTCTATGAAAGAGGTGGAGCCTAGAAACTCGTGGGTAAGTATCAGAATAAAATTCCTAAAACAGCCCAATCTGGGCAGTTTCACCCCTTAAATAAGTCATTATAGTAGGAAGGAGCAAAAAGGAAAGCAAGCGCGAAAAATATAGAATGAGGCCGGAGGGGTAGAAACTGGAACAGAAACTGGAATCATGTTTAAGTTAATAGGTAGTCCAGAAACAAAAAGAATTGTTGAAAAAACCCTTCAATTGGCATAGTATATTTTAATGAATAGTTTTTTAGGTGCTTAAGGTTAAGGTTGACGTTTTCAAGTTAAATTTTGTCAGTGTCGCTTTTCGTTTTCTTGTTATGGCTAAGTAGTCCAGGAATGGGACCAATTGTTCAAGAGCCTTTTAGCTGGTTAAGGTTAACATTTGCAGTTTAAATGTTCAAAAAGTCTCTTTTCATTTTCTTGTGAAGGTTACTTAGTCAAGGAACGGAAGGATTTGTTCAAGAGCCTTTCAAAGAACAGAAGATATTTTAAAGAATAATTTTTCGTCAGTGTTGTAAACACGGACGTAATGTTACCTACATTAAAACAAAAATAAAGGATATTACAGTGCACAGCAGAGGTGAGCCCATGTTGACGAAGTAAGCTTATGAGAATCAGTACACCGAAAAAGAATAAAGGTATCCTCTGTCCGTGTTAAAGGTGTCCATAGTACGCGGGTTAAATGTAAAGACAATATGAGGACATTTCCCCGGGACAACAAAACCTGTCCCTTATAACGAGGGGGCGTCCGTGAAGAGGGGTGCGATGGTACAACTGTGATATTTTTTTCGGAACCCGTCTAATTCGAATAAGTAAAGATTTGGTAAAGCATTTG